TGAAATTCCTTCCAAAAATTCCTTGAAAATTCCCAAAAAAATCCACTCAAAATTCCTGAAATTCCCTCCCCAAAATTCCCCCCCAAAATCCCAAAATTCCACCTAAAATTTCCAAGATTCACCAAAAATTCCATGCAGAATTGTCACAATTCCCAAAAAAATCCCCAAAATTCCAACAATTCTCCCAGAAACTCCCAAAAATTCCCTCCCAAAAATTCCCAAAAAATTTACCCCAAAAACTCCCAAAATTCCCAAAAAAATTCCCCCAAAATTCCAAAAAAATTCCACAAAAAAAATTCCTTAATTCCCAAAAAAATTCCCCTGAAAATTCCCAGAATTCCTAAAAAAATCCCTCCCAAACTTCCAAAAAAAATCCCAAAATTCCCAAAATTCCAATCCTGGAATCCCCAAAACTCCAAAACAATTCCCAAAATTCCCCAATTTTCACTCCCAGAATCCCCAAAATTCCAAAACAATTCCCAAAATTCCCCAATTTTCACTCCCAGAATCCCCAAAATTCCAAAACAATTCCCAAAATTCCCCAATTTTCACTCCCAGAATTCCCAAAATTCCAAAACAATTCCCAAAATTCCCCAATTTTCACTCCCAGAATCCCCAAAATTCCCAATTTCTTCCCCAAAAATCCCAAATTTCCCAATTTTCTTCCCCCAAATTCCCTGATTTCCCTCTTAAATTTCATTCCCAAACTTCCCTGATTTCCTCCTGGGAATTTTTCCTTCCCAAAATTCTCCGAATTCTTGGATTTTTCTGGGAATTCCCGGAATTTTCCGGGTTTTTTTTGGGATCTCACCATTGATTCACCTTCTGGCGTCCCTCGAAATCCGGGGGCAGGGAGCTCATCCTGGTCATCGTCTCCATCAGCTCCCGCAAATCCGGCTGGATCTGCACATTCCCAAAAAAAATCCCGGAATTCCGGGAATTCGGGGGAAATTTGGGAATTTTTGGGGATTTTTGGGGATTTTTAGGGATTTTTTAGGGATTTTTTTGGATTTTTTTGGATTTTTTTTTTAAATTTTATTGGGATTTTTTGGGGATTTTTTTGGGAATTATTGAGATTTTTAGGGAATTTTGAGGGGATTTTTTTTGGAATTTCACAGGAGTTTTTGGGATATTTTAGGGGATTTTTTTGGGAATTATTGGGGTTTTTAGGGCATTTTGGGGGGGCTTTTTTGGGGATTTTTTTGAGGATTTTTAGGGAATTTTGTGGGGACTTTTTTCGGGAATTTTATGGGATTATTTTGGGAATTATTGGGATTTTTAGGGACTTTTTTCGGGAATTTTATGGGATTATTTTGGGAATTATTGGGATTTTTAGGGAATTTTGAGGGGATTTTTTTGGAATTTCACAGGATTTTTTGGGATATTTTTGGGGATTTTTTGGGAATTATTGGGATTTTTAGGGAATTTTTTGGGGGCTTTTTTGGGGATTTTTTTTTATTTTTTTGAGGATTTTTAGGGAATTTTGTGGGGATGTTTTTGGGGAATTTTATGGGATTTTTTTGGGAATTATTGGGATTTTTAGGGAATTTGGGGGGGGCTTTTTTGGGGGATTTTTTTGAGGATTTTTAGGGAATTTTGTGTAGATTTTTTGGGGAATTTAATGAGATTTTTTTGGATATTTTTGGGGCTTTTTGGGGGATTCTTTGGATTTTTTTGAGAATCTTTAGGGAATTTTGTGGGGTTTTTTTTTGGGAATTACTGGGAATTTTTTTTGGAATTTCATGGGATTTTTGGGGGAATTTTAAGGAATTTTGGGGCTTTTGGGAGGATTTTTTGGATTTTTTTGAGGATTTTTTGAGAATTTTGTGGGGATGTTTTTTGGGATATTTTATGGCATTTTTTTGGGAATTATTGGGATTTTTGGGGGGATTTCTTGGGATTTTTTGGGGGAGGTTTTTTGAATTTTTGTGAGGATTTTTAGGGAATTTGGGGGGGATTTTTTGGGGAATTTAATGGGATTTTTTGGGATATTTTTGGGGATTTTTTGGGAATTATTGGGATTTTTAGGGAATTTTTGGGGGGATTTTTTGGGATATTTTTGGGGATTTTTTGGGAATTATTGGGATTTTTAGGGAATTTTTGGGGATTTTTTGGGGATTTTTTTTTTATTTTTTTGAGGATTTTTAGGGAATTTTGTGGGGATTTTTTGGGGGAATTATATGGGATTTTTTTGGGAATTATTGGGATTTTTAGGGAATTTTGAGGGGATTTTTTTGGAATTTCATGGGATCTTTTGGAATATTTTTTGGGATTTTTTTTTAATTTTATTGGGATTTTTAGGGAATTTTGGGGGAGGCTTTTTTGGGAATTTCATGGGATCTTTTGGAATATTTTTTGGGATTTTTTTGGGAATTATTGGGATTTTTGGGGGGATTTTTTGGGATTTTTTGGGGGAGGTTTTTTGAATTTTTGTGAGGATTTTTAAGGATTTTGAAGGGATTTTTTTGGAATTTCATGGGATTTTGGGGGATATTTTAGGGGATTTTTTTGGGAATTATTGGGATTTTTAGGGAATTTTATGGGGATTTTTTTTGGAAGTTTTATGGGATTTTTTGGGATCTTTTTGGGAATCTTTTTTGGGAATTATTGGGATTTGGGCGATTTTTTGGGATTTTTTGTGGGGTTTTTTGGGGGGTTTTTCGGGATTTTGTGGGGATTTTTTTTGGGAATTTGATGGGATTTTTGGGGATATTTTTGGGGATTTTTGGGGATTTTTGGGGATTTTTGGGAATTTTTCTGGGTTTTTTTCAGGGGATTTTTTCTGGCTTTTGTGGGGATTTTTTTGGGAATTTTTGGGATTGGAATTGTGGGATTTTGGGAATTTTTGGGTGTGGAATTGTGGGATTTTGGGAATTTTTGGGTGTGGGATTTTGGGAATTTTTGGGATCAGAATTGAGGGATTTGGGGAATTTTTGGGAATGGAATTGTGGGATTTTGGGAATTTTGGGGTGTGGAATTGGGGGATTTTGGGGAATTTTTGGGATTGGAATTGTGGGATTTTGGGAATTTTTGGGTGTGGAATTGGGGGAGGGAATTTTTGGGATTGGAATTGTGGGATTTTGGGAATTTTTGGGTGTGGAATTGGGGGAATTTTTGGGTGTGGAATTGGGGGAATTTTTGGGTGTGGAATTGTGGGATTTTGGGAATTTTTGGGTGCGGGATTTTGGGAATTTTTGGGAATGGAATTGTGGGATTTTGGGAATTTTTGGGTGTGGAATTTGAGGATTTTGGGGAATTTTTGGGATTGGAATTGGGGAATTTTGGGGAATTTTTGGGAACTTTTGGGTGTGGAATTGGGGGAATTTTTGGGTGTGGAATTGTGGGATTTTGGGAATTTTTGGGTGTGGAATTGTGGGATTTGGGGAATTTTTGGGATCAGAATTGTGGGATTTTGGGAATTTTTGGGTGTGGAATTGTGGGATTGTGGGAATTTTTGGGTGTGGAATTTGAGGATTTTGGGAATTTTTGGGATTGGAATTGTGGGATTTTGGGGAATTTTTGGGTGTGGAATTGGGGGATTTTGGGAATTTTTGGGTGTGGGATTTTGGGAATTTTTGGGATTGGAATTGGGGGATTTTGGGAATTTTTGGGTGTGGAATTGTGGGATTTTGGGAATTTTTGGGTGTGGGATTTTGGGAATTTTTGGGTGTGGAATTGTGGGATTTTGGGGAATTTTTGGGTGTGGAATTGTGGGATTTTGGGAATTTTTGGGATCGGAATTGGGGGATTTTGGGAATTTTTGGGTGTGGGATTTTGGGAATTTTTGGGTGTGGAATTGTGGGATTTTAGGGAATTTTTGGGATCAGAATTGGGGGATTTTGGGAATTTTTGGGATTGGAATTGTGGGATTTGGGGAATTTTTGGGTGTGGGATTTTGGGGAATTTTTGGGTGTGGAATTGGGGGATTTTGGGGAATTTTTGGGATCAGAATTGGGGGATTTTGGGGAATTTTTGGGTGTGGAATTGTGGGATTTTGGGGAATTTTTGGGATCGGAATTGTGGGATTTTGGGAATTTTTGGGTGTGGAATTGTGGGATTTTGGGAATTTTTGGGTGTGGAATTGTGGGATTTTGGGGAATTTTTGGGTGTGGGATTTTGGGAATTTTTGGGATCGGAATTG